GCTCCATGCAGTAGTGTGGCCTTAAAACCTGTGACCCTGAGAGGACAGCCTCTCCAAACACCAGCAAGTCAATCCAACATCCAATAAATTAGAGCCCACAAATAGCAAGTTGCCATTTTTAACTCTCTCATCTCAAGAGTTTGGGTTAGTGGACAGAGTCCCAGGAAGAACAAATCTCTTTAATGTTCAAAGAATGTACCCTTCAAGACCCTGTCCCCTGTCCCCTCCTCTTTATAGCTCCCAATATTGTCCAAGGCAATTTGCACTCCCTCCCCAGACAATGTCCTACCACTCTGCAGGCAGAATGTGCCTTCGCTGAACCTGAGAAGGGCAGCAAAATGTTTGTGGTCTCCAAGGTTACTCTCTAAAGGCCCTTGAGAACTTTGGGAGAGTGCTTGAATTCATTAACACCAAATTTGCTCGGCTCCACACATGCCCCATTCCCACCCCTTCCTAGCTCTATCCTCTTTTCTTTGGAACTCTGGCGCTCTAGTCTCAGCCACCCTGGGCTTGCCTTTGGGATTCATAGGAATCTGCGGCTGTGAATCTGGAAGGGCGTAAGCGTGTGTTGCAGAGACAAAAGGAGAGAAGAGAAAGCAGGCTATCTCCATCTCCACACTCCTGCCATTTGGAGCCACTCCTGTGGGCTGGGGGCCACCGTGAGCAGTGCTGAATCTGTAACAGCATCCCTGGCCCCCACCCCTGGGAGCCACTAGCATCTCCCTCCTCCAGTTGTGACAACCAAATGTCTCTTAGTAGACAAGACCACCTCTGGCTGAGAACCACTGAGAAACATGGAGAACAGACTGTTAGTGGGTTTGATTTATTTTGAATTCACGGCTGTACCACCAAAGTTGTTGTGCTCGTCCCCAGCCTTTGACCTTGGGTTGTTCCATTTGACCGTAGCCTCTCACCTTCTGCCATGGCACTCTGATCATGCCCTACACATGCCCTCCCCAACATTGGGCTTGGCCCCCATTAATTTCACCAAACTCCCAGAGTAAACCTCCCTGAGCACCAGCTCCTGAAGGTGTGGGGAGGCATGTTGATTAGCCACTGATTGGCAAAGGGACTGGTCCTGGAGGGGTGAGCAGGCCAACCTGGGGGCCACGATGCGCAAAATTTTAGGATGTTGTAGTCCTGAGAGAGGAGGGATTACTGAGTAGGACATAGGGGGCTACTTCCCTTGTGAATCATTTAAAGCTTAAATTGAAGTGGTGGCTCCAGCTTCTCAACCTTCTGACTAATTGAAGTTTTGATAAACCGTGATTCTCTTTGCCTTTTAATTGTTTAAATTGATAAGTCAGTGACTGCGTTGGTTAATGCGTGCTGCAGTCTTCTCTCCTGGGCTGAGGGCAGCCGGACCTTGCACCATCCATGACCCAAATCCTGAAGACCAGGCAGCAGTCAAGGAAAACCTGAAGGCTGTTTAGTCATGTGAGAAAGGTGCACAGTTGCTAATTGGAAAGTATATATGGTGTGATCCTAACAGTGCTTTACAATGTGATGAATAGACACACACACACTCTGGAAGAGTCTTGAAATGATGTGACAAATGTTAATAGCAGTTACTCTCATGGTGGATTCTGTGATTTTAGTTTTGTTCCTTACACCTGCCTGCATATTTCAGGTTTTCTACAATCATATGTATTACTTTTATGCCTGAAAATAAAAATCATATTCTTTATTTTGTGTTATTATTGTGTTGTTATTTGATGCCTGCAGAGGCCGGGAGGAGCAGTGCTTGTCTTCTCTGGAGGGAATGCCCATGTGGGGCCAGCTGACTCTGAGATGGGGTGGGGCAAGGTCAAGCTTAATGATCTGGGGTGCGTGTTCCTGTGACTCCCCCAGAAAGGGGAGGGTGCCTCCTGGTGTGCCCTCACAGTCTCTGCTCATCTGGGGGATGTGGTACACTGTTCACAGGCCAGTCTTCTGTGGTCAGAGCTCAGTGCCCCCCAGGGCTGGAGCACAGTCATCCCCAGCAAAGCTCCTGTTTGTTCCCCTGAGCCTCTGCCACTCCCCTGTGGCCACCTGCCGAGGAGAAACTCAGAGGAAGGGCTCCACTCCCATTACAGGCAAACCCCACAGATCAGGGGAGGTAACTGCCCACTTTCCCAGTTGAGAATACAGCCCTGATGGCTGACCCGTTAAACACTCCACTTACTGGAGTTGATTTACAAGTCGGATATTTTTAGGGTGCTCAATACCGTTGTATACGGTAAAGGTGAAAGAGAATACTAGAAAAGGGAAGCATCCACTTTCTGTTCTCAATTAAATTCTAGCGTATGCAGGGAGGGATATGAGATGCACACAAGAGCAGCGATGAGTCAACATAATAAGTTGACAGATTATATGATATTATTATAAACCAAACTTCTGGTGTAAGATTGGGGCCCAGATCTTTTCTGCAAGTGGTGAAACTGGGGCACAGAGCAGGGGGCTAGACCAAAATCAGCATGGGGCTGTCGCCAGCCTGTCTTGGAACAGTTGATAATGGCACCCATGCTCACAGCCACTCCGGGATCTGTAAAGGAGCCGCTGTTTGCAGTGTGCACATGGGAACAGGCGGAGGGCAGAAAGAGCCTGAGATGGGGAGCAGACACAGGCTGCTGTCAGGCCCGAGGGAATGCAGAGCTTGGCAGAAGGACCCAAGGAGGGAAAGGAAAAAAACGGGAGATGAAAATCACAGGAACCACTGAAGCCAAGGGTCCCAATGTCGCCCCTCTCCCTGCGGGCAGGAAAATGTCTAACCAGCAGTCTCCAACTAGGTGTGTGCAGGAGTCACCAGGGACCTGCCCGAATGAGTTTTGATGTAGCAGGTCCATGGTGGGGCCACGTGCCCTGCATTTCCTCTTTGGTTTTGTTTTATTTTTCATTTAATTTTATTGAGACATAGTTTTCACATAACGTTGTGTAAATAAAAGGTGTACAGGGTGTTAATTTGATATGTCTACATATTGGAGCAGAATTACCACTGTGGATGCCCCACCCAGGGCCCTGAATACTCTGAGAAAGCTGCTTCTCTCTCCAGGCTTCCACCTCCCCATCCAGCCAGTCAGCCCTGGCTTCACCTTACTGTAGTCCTCCAGGGGGCTTTAAAAACACCACAGAAAGGCGGAAGGCGTCACCAAACAAAATAGACAGGACCCAATGGCCAAAGGGAGTGTGTGCATCCTGAGACAACCAAGCAAATGTAAAAAGATGGCCCTGGGAATTTCAGCATGGACCACGTCTCAGGTGATGTGGAGGACTTACTGAGAATTTTGTTAGGTGTGCAAATGGTATGACTATTATGCTAAAAACAAGTCTATCAGAGATATTTACAGGTGAAAGGACTGGATTTTTGAGATCTGTGATTAAAATATTCAGAACAAATAGTATGTGTTGGAACATAACATATGGAAAAGATTAGCAAAATGCTAATTGTTCTGCTGGGTGTAAGGCACAGAGCACCTGGGGTGTGTTTATAAATACTGGTGCTGTGTGCCACCCCCTGATTCTAATTTAACCTGTCTACTGTGCAGCCTGATCATTGGAAAGTTTTAAAACTCTGGCAGGGATTTTAATGTGTGACAAAGTTTGAGAAGATGGTGCGGGGCTTAGGGGGGATGGATTTTGTTCTTTATATTTTAGTGTATGATTAAAACTTTTCTAGAATAGACAGTTTAAATAATCTTGGGGCAGAGCTCTAGTCTTGGTTTCAAAGTTCTCCAGGTGGTGAATCTAGCGTGAGGATCCCAGAGTAGATGACATTAAGCCTGACGTGCCATCTCCCTAATATCCCTGGGTTGTCAGAGCAAACTGTGCACCTCTCTGTGGAAAGGCCTGGGCTGGACGGGACTCAGGAAGGAAACGGGTGGGTGAGAGAGAGAAGCTAACAAATCTTGTTAGTAAGTCAAACAAGCGACCATCTCTTGGGAGGGTCTTTCTGAAGCGCAGCTCACAAGCTACTGGGCACCAGCAGAGGAAGCCCAGCGTGTCAGACCTGCTCACCTCTCAAATCATCACCAGTCAGCAGGTAGGCCTTGCTGGGCCCCCAAGTCCAGCTCCCCAGAGCTCACAGTGTGGTGGAGACTGGCTGCAAACAATCGTGCTGTCTGAGGGTCCCATGGGAAATGGAGGGAGCTCTTGCCCTGGGGCCAGAAGCAGGGACTGGCCTGGGGTTCACAGGCCTTTTAAGTCACCTGGCAAACACTCTGTAGAAACTGCCAAGCAGGACTGGCTCCGTCATTTGTGGAGCCCAGTGCAAAATGGAAATGTGGCACCTGTTCAAAAATTATTAAGATTCCAGATGGCAATACAGGAGCATGAGGCCCAGCTAGGCATCTCTGGGGCCCTGGCGCCCCCGCAGCGGCCACCCCAGAACCGAGCTTTGGACTGGACACACTTTAGCCAGCTCCGACCTTGTGACAATATGACGATGAACTGCGGACTCTGAAACCGCCTACACTGCATCTCTGGCTTTTCTTGGGTAACAAATCTTGTTTGAGAGAACCGGTTAGTTTTCAGGGCTCACAAAACACAAAGGGCGGGTGGGAGGGGAGAGAAAGGGGCTGCCCCTGACTCTCCCGGCTGTGGGACGTGACCCAAACTGGCTCTTCCTAGGTGTGCACGGGAGGCCTCCCACCGACCCGTGGAAGTGGCTGGAAGCCGCCTCAGACCACGGCGCCTCGGGCCTGTCTCAGCCATCGTTTTCTGCAGGTTACTTGTCGTAGGCACCTGGAAGGTGATGGACGGGAGGTGGAATCTCCCCCCTGGGTGGGGACACTTACACCTGGCATTCTCCAGCCGGACCAGGCAGTTGAGGAAGTCGTCAAAGCCCAGCTGGAGCTCCTGGTCCGCATACCTGAGGACAATCAGCTGCAGGAGGTGACCACTCAGTTGGAAGCCTGTGGGAAGAGGGAGGAAACTGCCCAGCCCAGTGTGGCTGAGCCCCAAAGGTGCACCTCGGGGGACCCGCAGTGCTGAGAGGTGAGCTAGGGCCACTGGGTGCTGCCCTCCCTTTGAATGCAGTGTGACGGCTCCTCTGGGAGTGCTGTGAGCTCACAGCTACACCGTCCGAGTTTAGTGAGTTCATGGTCTTGGCTTTGATGCCAATATCACCCACTGCGTCTTACTAACTTTTCAGGAACCCCGCTTCAGAAACTTGTGCAGGAGGCATCTGAGCTCCCATTCCCCACCCACCCACGTCCTCTACTTCTGTGTCTGAGCTCACCTCCTGCACCTCCTGCTTCTGCTGGGCCCAGAGGATCCCAGCCATTATGACCACAGTGAGTGGCCTTTTCTCAAGGGTGTGACACATATTCAGGGCTCCGAGGGACATGGTTTCATTATTAAACCTGCTGCCCCAGCCTGCCGGGGGCTCTAGAAGTCCTGTCTCTCAGGAGTGGCCCACAGCAAATGCCGTAAGGTGGGGTCTCATCCGTGCATCCACCACAGAGAGCCCAGCTGCAGCCAGGGGCCATGGGCCGTTTGCTCCATTTCTCTGGACTTCGGTTTCCTGATCAGTTGAATCGGGTTTCGACAAGGAAAAGTTCCTTTTAGATCCAATACTGAATGCTTTGATCTCCAACCAGCATCCTTCTGAATGACTCTGTCTACCTCTCACTTTAGTCTTCATGCTTGCTCTCCAGGGAACAGAGTATCACTTGGAAGTCCACCCAGGGTCTTCCTGCACCCTCAGTTCCAGTTCCAGAGGGAGGAGGAGGCCAATCAGACACAGGGAAGTTTCTGGAGCCTACACAGGTGTGCTGGCTGTCACCCAGAATCCTGGGGTCTGCTCTTGATGGGGCTGGAGGAAGGGAAGTGGGGGGAGCAGTGCCTCTCCCTCTCCACACCAGGGTAAGAAAGGCTTGGTAACACCCCTCCTCTGCTGCTCTGTGCCCCTGCCCTAGAAACGGGGGCCCCAGCCCTAAGAAAATCAGGTTCTTCTCGTCTGTGGCATTCTCCACATTTATAACCAATCTTGATTCCTTCTCCTTCCATAGGACCCAAGATGGTCCTGATTTTGTATTCTGTCCTTCTATCAGGCCATGAAGCTAACAATGTTTCCAGATGTTTGGTTTTGCTGGGAGGCAAGCAGATTACAGGCTTTGGCAGGGCGTAGGGGCTGTGTCTGAAGCACGCTTTGTGAGAAACACCACGCAGCTTGGCAGGGAATGTGGGCCACAGTGGCCGTGGAGACCACATCTATATGCAAAGGACAGCTGAGCCCCAGACTCTATAGACAGCCACAGCAATGACTGCCCGAGGGTTAGGATGCCACCTGGAACCCATCCTTCCTGCAGAGAGCTGGGTATAAACTATGACTCAGTCCCCTGGCTTGGATTCAGTCTGCTGGACAAGGCCAAGGCCAGGGCCAGGGCTGCAGGTGGCAGAGGATGCATGAGCTCTGTGAGCTCCTCCCTCACCGCAAACCATGGGGTTGGACACGCCCTCCCTTGCATGTGCTAATTACCAGGTGAAAGACAAAAGCAGAGGTTTGGAAGCACTGTGGCTTGCTACCAAAGGGTCACATGTAACTCTGCTTGCCAAGAAACCTTAGCCAGGGCTGAGAGAGAGGGTCTGGTCAAGTTCATCCTTCAGGAATGCATTTGAAAGACTCCTGCCACCCAGTGGTTGAGGATGTGGGTCCTGGTGGGCATAAGAGAGTCCTGAGTCCGGAGCCTGGCTCTGCGTCCTAGGGGAGCGGCAGCTTGGGTCGAAGCCTGGCCGCCTCCCAGAGCCATGAGAAGCTGTGGCTGCCCAGAGGGCACCTGGCGCACAGTCAGCCCGCGCCTGACACCCAGGCTTTTCCTTACCTGCGACTCCCAGGGCAGTCCGCAGCTCATAGGAGGACATGGTGCCCGACCGCTCAGCATCGAACTGGAGGAAGAGGAACTGCAGGAGGCGAGTGGGAGCACTGAGACATGGAGCCCACCGGTCGGCGGCCTCAGGGGCAGGAAGCAGGGCAGCCAGCGCCTGAGGAGACCTTCCCCAGGGGGCCAGGAGAGGGACGGCTGGGGCAGGCCCTCAGAAAGAAGTTCTGGGCAGAAGCCCTGTGGTGCCCCCAAGAGGACCGGAGGTGAGCGCTGAAACTCCACCACAGCTTCCTCCCTCCTGCCCTTCCCCAGCGCAGGCCCTCTAGCCAACAGCACCTGGGCCTGCTAGAATCCCCTCGGCTCTAGGCTCACGTACAGTCCCTGGAGGCCGTGCACCAGCCATGTCACATACTGTCCACTGCTTCAGTTTGTCCCAGAACACCTGGAATTCTCCAAACCTGAGCTTTCCATTGCCACTGGTCTGTGCCAAGCGCATTAAGGAAGACGTGAGCAGCACTTAACTGGGACCCCTGGGTGGGACCCCAGGCCTGGGACCCTGGGGGGAGGGGGCGATGGGTGGCGCAGAGTCAGGGCTCTGAGGGACATGGATTCGTTATTAAACCATGACTCTCTGGAAAGGGAAAATGGCAGAGGAGGAGATGGGGTGGCACCAGAAGTCTCAAAAAGCACCCCCCCAAATCCTTCATTCCCTTGGGGGGGACCTCAGAGGGGCAGCAAGATTCCCTAGTCCCTTCAGAAACATTCCCCCCACTGGACAATCTGTGCCTCTTGATTCTGCCCCAACTCACAGGCTTTGGTTATTCTCTGTGGAGACCATCCTCCTGGGCACGGGTGCCACCACCCAGGAAGGTCTCCACGATAGAAAGGAATCACTGAACATCTATTTCTGGCCACAGATTTAGAAGGATATGTCCATTAAAGAAATGATGTTTTTACAGGAAATCAGGCTTAGCTTCTTGAATTTGATGTCCTTTTCTGAAATCTCACACATGAAAGCAGAATTCAGCTGACCCCTGATAACATAAACCTTTTCGTGTCTGCTGAAAGCCCAGCTGTGTGGGCAATTCAGGGACTGGTGAGAGTTGACAGTGACATGGCCTTTGGGGGAGAAATTCGCAAAGGATGAAAAAGCCTTGAAAGTGGGAATATCCCTCCACCCATTTATCTTAGACCAAGCAAAGAGTTACAAATTAAGATTTTTATCCCTGGGTTATTTGTAATGGCAAAAATTTAGAAATGCTGTAAACGGCCAATGGAGGGATATGGATGGTGAGGTTATGTCCCTATGACAGGTAATTACACAATCCTTAAGAATCACAGTTTTGAAGGATAGTTAATGACCTGGGGAAATGCTCATAAAAACTGAGCTTATTGGATTAATACTTGGTCTATAGGCACAGACCTGATCATCTACATTTGCCCTCTTACAGCACTAAATTATGTTTTCTACCTTTATCTTGCATCTACCTACCATTTCAGCATTTTATTAAAAATAAAAAAAATAATAATAAGGGAAAAATGTGGGATTCACATATAAATCAAGTATAAAAATCAAATGAATATTCATATTTGAACGGACTGTTTATAGTTCATAATGCATGATCCAACCGAAAGTTTCTGTGATATGACTGCCCTTGCACTGTTCACCATGTAAGAACTTACTCACTATGTAAGAACTTGTTCATTATGCTTCAGAAGATTGGAGACTGTTGAGAAATAGGCTTGGGGTTGATTAATGATTGTGCATTGAGTCCCCTATACAGAATTTTATTGTTGTTAACAACCATTTGATCAATAAATATGAGAGATGCCCTCTCAAAAAAAAAACTGAGCTTAAAAGACTTAAAATTATTTAAGAGATTTAAACTTAATGGGGAAATTTGAAACACATACACTCCTAGCGGATGTATGTTATGACGTGGATGAATCTTGAAAGCACTATGCTAAGTGAAAAAGCCAGTCAAAAAGGAGCATGTATTATGATTTCTCTTAGGTGAAAAGTCCAGAGTAGGCACATCTATGGAGACAGAAAGTAGACTGGTGGTTGCCAGGGGCTGAGGGGATGTGGAGTATCTGCTACTGGGTTCAGAGTTCCTATTTTTTTTTTTTTTTTTTTT